CGGAAACTTTCGTAGGGCTGGACGACGCTACAAGTCCCCGGTTCTCGGAAACTCAAGACGTCCGAAAGCCAGATACCTCGGTATGTTCGAGCGAACGATGTCTGAACATCTCGATGTTCACGAGACAAGGCGCGATGTCAAATAGCGATTGTGAAAAGCACCGAGGCAGGCAGACAGACTGCTAGTAAATTCCGAAAGGTCGGTAGACGGAGCAGGCGGACGAGTCTAATATAGAGACACATTAAGCGAATGCGAAGAGCTGCCATGATCCCACACATCTCCCTATCTACTCCCTTCCAATGATAATCATCTCCCCCTCTGCCCCGCTATCACTAGTCACATACATCCTACCATAGCCATCCTGCACAATACTCACAGGCCTGAAACATTGCGTAGTCGAGCAAGACTCCACATCCGGATTCCAGAAAATATCAGCCCAACTCTGCGTACTATTCACGGCTGCCTTCGGTCCGAAGCCGTTCGCGCCCTTGGTAAACGGCACTTCAATGATCTTGTATCCAATCGAAGGGTTGCGGTTCCACGATCCATGGAGGGTAATGTACATGCTAGTGAAGTTCTTGTTGAAGCTCACATCAAGGGGTGCGGAGTGTGCTGGGAGAGCAAGACGCGGTGGTATACTGCGGGTGTCACAGGTATCGTCTGTGAAGGTCGCATTAGGCTCCAGAACGAACAGGTCGCCTATCGTGAATGGTTTGTCTGCAATAGATGCCGGGTTGAAGACGGTATAACAGGTGGGGTACCCATACCAGTCCGTGTTCTCTTTGGATGGATCTCCGAGGTAGTTGATCTCATCAGCTGGGTTATCAGTATGGATATCCACGGATACCCCGTCAATGGTGCGATGCAGCTCATCCGAAGAATTCTCGACACCCCAAAGCATGCCGTCAGCATCGAACGCTAGACCGACTTCATTGCGGAGCCCATATCCCATCTGGTAGCCACTGGTTGGGTAGTTGTAGCCATCCGCGGGGATAGCGGTTGTATCAAATACTTTGATACAAGATCTGCCGGTTGCGATATCTGCAGAACCGTAATCGAAGTTGTCATTCGAGCCATGCGAGACGAGAAGGAGATTCGGGTATTTTGGTGGGATCGCTAGCGTCCTGGTGACATGCCCTCTACTGTCCATGCCTGTTAGGACTGTTGTTGCGTTCTCAAATACACTCATGGTGGTTGCATCATATGACCATGAGAATACCGAAGTTGCAGAGCTAGCGAACAGCGTCTTTCCATCGTGGCTGAGCACAATGCCATGGTTGAGATTTCGTTGAGCGATGACGGTCTTGATCGAGGTGAGGCAACCGTTTGGCGCAACTTTGTGAGCTGTAATGCCCATTCCATTCTGAACGACAAGAAGGTTCCCAGAGTTATCGAATATAAGACCTCTTGGCTGGGTCAGTCCTCCTGCGACCTTTGTCGCCCTCCATCCTTTCGCTGTGTTCGCAGGAAATGCAAGTTCTGCAACATCAGGACACGACACAGGTATTCCTGTATGGGTTGGTTGCGGTAACCCCGAAGTGACCGTACTCATGCTCATCGTAGTCGATATTGTGCTGATAGCCGAGCTAGGTACTGGGGTGCTGCTTGATGCTGGTGGTGTAACATCGACGAGGTTCGCAGCAACTAACTCGTCGAAATCCGCATTCTGACCTTGTGTGAGGTCAATTCGGTAGTTTCCAAAAGAATTGTGCACGTTGAAGGTAGATCTGTTGTTCGCGGGTTCAGCAGGTGGTCTACTCGACAAGCCATACGCGAACTTTTGCGCAGATGCATTTGCGTCGATGGAAACCAGGTTGCCGTCCACGTCATGCCATTGAGAACAACCTTTACACCGCACATTTAGGGTCCAGTGAGTCGCGTTGTATCCAGTTCCTTTGATGTACGAGTATTCGGCATCGGCGTAGGGTTGCGGCAAGCTCAGACCGAAAGCCATCCTTGATGAGTAGATGGAGGTATTCGATGCACTGTTCATCCATCCGACTGTAAGTGGGACATATGGCATCGTCCCGCCCCAGCTGAAACCGACCCATCCATTCTTGATAGGCGACACAATTTGCAGGACGGTGTCGAAAGGCGCAGCTTTTGACCGAGGTAGAGCGACACCAAAGGTGATGCCATTCGTACCAGTCCACCCGGAATAGCACATCGAGGTTTCCAAATCGCAGTACCGCTTGGTCGTTTGGCCATATGCTGTAATAGCGTCAATCAGATAAACAAGAGTGAAGTATATTTGTGTATAGGAGCAAGTACCTGTATGGCTGATAGCAACAAGCGTCAATAACAGCCTGCCTATCGTCATCGTCGGCGAAATACGTAGACTCTACCAGATAATGACGTTATACTGTAGCACAGAGCTCAATCCTGTCGAAGACGCGACTCGTACCAGATATAAGATGTGCACGTCTTTTGTACCAGCATCTCGAAGACTGTGAGGATAGCCGCAAGGCGCTTACAGATTTGCGCCAGTTCACCCTTCGTCCGATGCTGGGAGACGCAATGCGCATCATACGATGGTCGTCGGCTGAGTGCGTATCGTCATCCGCTCATGCGATAAGCTCCTTGAAGGCATCATGATGACTGAAAGTATGAACGGCGGTACTTTCTGTTAAGTGTTGATCCGCTTCCACGTTGGTTGTATATTGCTGCTGCGTCCCGCTTGCGGCAAAATGCTCCACGCTTATAATTGCTGTTAGAATTACATGATGGCGCATTTTCGTGTGTGATCTACACAAGTATCGAAAAGCGCAGATGCGTAGTTACCTGGGCCCCCGTTCCTGTTTTTTGAGCCTCAATTCAACCCAGGATCGATCAGGCGTAATCAATCCGATCCTTATGGTACGGGGCGTATGAACAATAACCAAAACTGAGGCTGAAGTAGCCTGGTCCAGTCAGTTTCACGTTGTTGTGTTGAGCATCCAGGTGTTGATGCAAATTGAATGGGGGTTGCCAGGGCCCGGTAGATGAAACGACGCATTTAGCCTTTGACGGCCAGCGGCAGATAGACAGAATCTACCATTACACAAGTACACTTGTATATACTGATATCAAAGATCATCAATGGCCTGATACGCGCATTTTCTCGGTCCGGTCTCCGCAGAGACAAGTAGGGTGCTGGAGATAGCTCGCGACCGACCCTCGTGCGTTCGGTAGACGTACTTTGTTTGTCGCAACAGGTTCGTAAAGGTGAGCGACCGTTCTGCGATATCTGAGGGAATTGGTGAAAGATGAAACAACGACATGGAGGGGTGTTTCGGGGTGTGATGAGGCGGAAGGAAGGTGGAGTGAGATGAAGCGGAAGGAAGTCGCGATGGGATGACGCACGGATCCATGACGAAATGGGACACGTCCGCGCGAACTGCGGAAGGGAGAAACCATCCAACAAAGAACAACCAAAATACATGATCAGTGAGTCAGCCTAGATTGATAACGATGATAATCAGTCGTATAAACCGACAATTCTAGATCTTCGCCTTCGCAGGCGCAGTAACCCTCTTCCCATGCACATAGCAAATCCCCCTAATCCTCTCCGCCGCCTCCCCCCAAAGCTCATTCCTCAACACACTATAAACACCCATCTTAGCCCTCCCCTGCACATCCCTCGCCTTCTTCAGCGCAACCTCAAGCATAACCTTCGGCTCCGCAATCTCATCCACAATACCATCCTCGTATGCCTCCTTACCCGTCCAGCGATGCGCCTCAAGCAGCATCTTCCTTGCAACCTGCGGGCGCAGCTTAAGCCGCGGCAAGAAACCGATGCCAGGGAAATGCAAACCGAGATTCACAGGCGGCATAGAGAAGAAGCCGCGCGAGGAGTTCATGATGCGGTAGTCGTGTGCGAGAGCGAAGGGGCAGGCGCCGCCGAATGTATGACCCGTCAGCAACGCGATGGTGGGGAAAGGGTAGTCGAGCAAGGTGGCTAGCAGCGGGAAGAAGCCATCGCTGTTGGCGAAAGGGTTTCTGTCGCTCTCGTCCAGCTCGAGACCTGTGCACCAGAACTTCTCGTCGTTTCCCCGTGTTATCACGCAGCCTTCTGTGTCGGCGCCTAGTTCTGCCTCGATGTCGCGGAGCGCGCGTATTATTTCTTGCGCGAAGGCGACGTTTATGCGGTTTTCGGGGGCTTTGGCGAGGGTTATGATGAAGACGCGGTCGTGGCGGGAGACGCGTAGGTTTGTGTATTCGCCTAGTGCCATCTTGTGGAAGGGTTTAGGTATTGCGATTACGATGTCGGGGGCGATGCGATGCTACCTGGGCTAAAGTAAATTGGTTAGTAGGGTCTATAATGTTAGCTCTCGTGATTTCATGAGGTTACGCCTCGTTTTGCAGTCTCGAGATGCCAAACTTCATGGTGTTGAAGCCTCGGCAGCCAGATGCGGGGAAAGACCCTGGCTGCACTCGCGCGTTGCGGTGCGTGTTTTCCGTGTCATTTGCTGACTCGACAGACAGATAGAGACTACTCTTCTCGAAAGATATTCGACCAAAGCAACAGCCGTCGTGGTGGGTGTAGACGACATGTGGGACGGAGACGTAAGGGGTCGCGGCCTGCAGCGCGTAGCAGTTGTGGAGCCCGCCTTGGCCAATTTTTAGATTCTCTCGTCTTTCCACCCGTCGCTACATCATCAGGGCCATGATTTTCTCGTTCCCACGCCTCAGACCCGAGCCGCTCTTGCGCGCATCATCACGATTCACGCATGCGAACCGTACCGTATAGGGTATTGACAGGTCGTACGACGGCAGATGCTGTCATGTATATTGAAAGCTAAGCTAGCCCAAAGATGAGAAGCGATAAACGGAAAGTAAGAGAAGAGATCGGCATCTAAGAAAGGTACAAATTGAACCGTCTGCTACACAAGGATCGGCCGACGTTGTTCTTCTATTCGTGTCACTGAATGCTACACGCTTGCTGCCACTCTGCTGCTCTCGAGAATGATCTTGGACCCCTTTCGTAAGAACTCCAACAATCTGAATCCAATGGAAGTGAATTATATGCTGTCGGAGTACCAGGCTTGGCCACGTACCGGAGCCCCCGTATAATTTGTACGTTCATTCTGAGCTGTCGGTGCAGCATAGTAGCCGGAAGGCCCAGGACGTTGCGGCGGGGCATACGAAGGCTGTCCATATGGACTACTCGGGAAAGCTACACTAGAACGTTGATCAAACCCGTCGTATCTCTCCTCGCGCTCGTCGGCAAGATGACTGTCATCTCGACCCAGGGTGGCGGTTCCGAAGCTATCGTATACTGTGATCGTCTGGGCGACAGTATCGAAATGCATCTTTCTGAGCTGTCTCTGCATGCCGGGATTGTCATCGCCATCGAGGTGCGCGAGTGAAGCAGCGATCAGGAATGCATTTCGAATCTGCCTGCCATTCCACCGGCCTACGCCAGACTTGGCGGTCTCGTCGAAATGGGTCAGCGCAAATTCGTTGATTTCGCTTTCAACGATAAATAGGCGATCAGCTGGATCCTGGCGTTGAAGTTCGATTCTTTTGAGTCGACTGATGTTGTGCTTGAAGATCTCTGTGGTCTGTTGTCTGTTGAGCTGGTTGTATCGCAGATGGAGGTGAACTCGAGACTTGATTGCCTCATCAAGAACCCCAAATCGATTGGTCGTGAGGAACAACACACCGTTGTAATACTCGAGCATGCGCAGAAACACTAATCATGATGTAAGTATGAGTATTATTGTTTGCGGGATGAAGACGGCTTACCGGACACCAAAGAATTCCTTTGAAGATCATTCTTGTCTCTTTGCGAAAGAAAGACCTCAGCTTCATCGAGTAACAGAACACAGTCCCAAAGATGGGCCAAGCGGAAGAATTCTTTCAACGACTTCTCCACACCTTCCGGAGTAAAACCAAGGTCAGCGCAGGTGATCGGAAACAGCGGCTTCTCATATTTCTGGGCAAAGGCCTCCGCTGTGGCCGTCTTTCCAACGCCTGGTGCACCATGTAGAAGGATGACAACGCCTCGGCCTTTTCCTCGAATGAGATCTTGCGAGGGAACTTCCGTGCCCTCCGATTCTTCCTTTTTCTTCCTGAAGTGCGACTTCAGAAGCGATTCGATGAGTCGTTTGTTCTTGTCCTCAATCTGAAGATCTGTGAATGCCTCAGCCGCCCTGCCTAGCTGCTTCACGGGCTTGAGATAGCGAGAGTCGATATGCACGAACTTACGATCCCGTACGGCGTACGCAAACATGCGCCGTGGTAGAAGGACCAGGTCTTCTCCAGTAGGAGGGTCTTGGTTATGCTGCTTCGCCAGAAAGGCATCGCGCTTAATATAAGCATTGTACTCCAGGAACTCGAATAAACTGTCATCCATGAGACTGTCAGGGCTTTCTCGAAGAAGATCTTTCCGGTTAGAACCCTTCCATGTTATGATGGATGTGTCATCGCTAACTGGTGACAGAGTGTATGCGTCTTCTTCTTGTGGGGTCAGCTCGGGTTTCCACTTTGGATATACGTTGGAAGCTTCCATGAAGTCCACCAACACGTCGCTCTGGATATGCTCAGGGCTCTTGATCATACCTCCTCTTGCGTCTTCAAGGTTGTCCCCGACAGGACTTTTGCTGACCGACCACCCGTCATAGAAGCCGTATCGGTTGGCGATGTTTTCCACAAATTTGTACCCGTCACTCTTGGCGTGTTTCAGCTTCATCTCCCGATCATTGACGAACAGAAGAGGGTAACATGGCAGCTCAGTGACAAGTTTCTTCCCCGGAAATGGTTCAAAGGAGATTGGTGTCATAACACAACCGTATCCCTCGCCGTCGTAGTCCAAGTAGTACGACTGCACTGAGGTAAACTTGTGTATCCTGCAAACGGAGCAATCGCAGCCGGTCAGCAACTCTTTATTGTAGCCGACGTGAACCCGAAAAACTCTTCGGATCTCCTGTACAGTTGAGTTTGCGATGGGCCCTTGTTGGCTCGACTGTGGGACATACACCAGATCGCCCGGCTCGAAGAGATAGCTCAGATCTTCGTAGCCTACTTTGGGCACTCCTGACGCGGTCGGATTACGGAATCGTTGGCGCAGAGGTAGCAGGTGGTCTTCTACAAAGTTGACGTAGCACTGGACCTCTTCAAGCGTTTCTTTCTTCAGATACAACGCTTCCAGATCGTCTGGATCTTGCTCTTTTTTATTGTTCATGTCTCCACCATCGGCAACGGAAGCAGGCGCTGTGTCCATCAGCTTGAATGCATCCAGCGAGGTGACATTCGTTTCTGGTGGTACTGATGAGCCTGTAATCTTTGCGTCGATGATGTGAAGTTCCTTCTTCATGTTCTCGTGGAAGTGAAGGAGATGTCGAAAAGGCTGCAGGAATGTGTGTGGTTTCCCTTCCCAAGTTTTGTCGGCATCACTGAACTTTCCAAGGATCTTCATCACGGCTTTGGAATTGATCCGGACCTGTTGGATCCAACGATCGCTGCGTACTTTGCTATGTGCTAGGCCGTGCTTTTTGATCGTGATGGTCGGGTCCGCAAGGAAAGACGGAGGTTCAGAGTTATGTCCAGGAATGTGCATCCTTCTGACATCCTCGTCATAAATTTGACGTGGAAGTGAATCACCAGCAACCAGCACCTCCAAAGCGGAAACCTCTCCACTACCGTTATGTCTGTTCTTGAACTGTTCCCAATTACACTCTCGGACTTGAGGAATGATCTTTTCCGAGTGTGCCACACCATTTGGCTCTTCTTGAGCGAATCCATCACCATCGTCTCTAACGGCTGCCTGCTGACCTTCAGACATCTTGCCTGGCAAATCGAAAGGCCTCGATCGCAGTAGTAAAGGCTGAAGGGGGTCACTTCCAATCCAAGACGCCCTGTTTGCACGATATACGTTGACTGCGTGTCGGGCACACACTTCTTGCCGGTAGCGGTGATTCTCAACGGATGATCGGGGTTGCCTGGTTGCCAAATCGCCACGATGAGTGCCCCGTCGGTTCCGGTCAAAGTGCGCGCTGGCCGGGAACCAGATATAGACCTCGAGCTACTGTGGCTAATCTAATAAGCCAAACGCTGCATGGAGACGCTGCGCGAAAAGGACCAGTTTCGATGTGTTTTGAGGGCAGTGCGGGGAAAATCGGTGATTGGCTGTGGCGTGTACCTGTCGGCCAGGTAGTGCAGTCGCTGCCTTCTGTTAGACTCAGCAACTGTGGCAGCCGCGAGTTATTTCTCGCAGAGGCTTCCTTACACACGTTTGGGGATGAAATAACAATACCGCTCAGTCCATGAGCTACGTAAAGAATAAAGCTCTCGTCGACTGCCTTACTAGGGGGTTTGACCGCTAGCTGTGGTTTCCCGCATCGAATCTTATCGGTGTCAGGCTTGGACAAGCACACCTTCCGCAGAGCGTTCTAGATCTGGGGTTCGCATAGGCCCACTGCCGTGGACCCGACCTGATAATAATGTTCTCTGATCAGATTTGCTGCGGACTGTCAGCCCCCATTCGCGCGGCGAGATCCGTCTCTCTAATTGGCCTCAAGCCTATGGTTTGTATCTCTTGATCCGGCGCTGACAATACAAATGCGGTATCCGCGCTACTATCTGCATTGCACTGAGTTCAATCAGCGATGTAGCTGCACGAAAGCTGCTTCCTTTGACTTAATCGGCCGTTCTCTGAAATCCTCTTGGTTAATGGGCATTGCAGAGATGATGGTATGGGAAAGACAATTCCCCTCTCGTCTCAAGAGTTTCTTTGGCAACCACGCTCGTCCAGACACGCTCCAGTGTAATTCTGCGCTTCTTCGCAGCAGTCTTACAAAGCTTGACCAGAACATGATTGGCGAATCATCTGGACTTATACGCAGCCTCATCACCCAGCTACTCCTTTATCCTAACTCAACGCACGTCAAGCTATCTTCATAGGAGCAGAGTCTCTACGACGCAGTGTCGCCATGCAACGTGCCAGCTTTAGTATCTCTGTTCGGCTCGATCGTGGGCGACATGGACAAGCGAAAGCCGATCATTTGCATCATAGACGGCATATCCGGTATCGGCACTCCGCTTTGTGGTTCGGACAGAGAACCTTTTGGTGTCGCTGATTAGCTTCAAGACATGTGCACTGCCAGCGATCTGATCCAGTGCTGAAGTTGCTCATGGCTAGTGCAAACAAACCGCTGAACCTTGGGTCGCTGGTGCGTCGCGATCGTGGAGAATTTGTGTCCTTGCGGTCGGGCAATGTCAGCGATAGGCCAGTGCGGGGGTTCGGATTCGACCGAGATGTCAGGAGACGTCGGGAGAATGTTGATGCCATCGTCGCAGGAGAGTGACTTTCTAGAGCCTGGACTGGTACAACGAGCGTCGCAGCGTGAATTCGCACATGTAGGGCGACCACGCTCTTCAGGAAGCAACCCGTGGACGTGCCGGGTGGTTGATGGACATCTCAATTGCTGTGTACAGGCCATCGAGTGGTGTCGTGTTAGTGTATCTTATCTAGCGCATCAACAGTATGCTCAAACAGAGACATCGCAATGCACGCGATTGGGGATGACCTTGGCATGGTGCGCCCCGGGGGTCGCTCATCTTTCGATTACGCACTAGCGGGCGTCGGCGAAACGTGGCTCCGACGCGTTTGTGGATTAGCGCCGGATGCAATACCCTCCGCGCAGCTGTGCCAGTACTCTCAGCCTTGGGCAGACGACAATGAATGGCAGCAGTACTTTCAGCCTGACAAGATCTTATTGTTTTCGCGCTCGTCTCGACATGAGTCGATTGTAATGACTTTGAGTGGTATTTTGCGTCCAGCCTGACAGCGGCCTCGCTGCTCTGCTCTGTCTGCCCACGACGACCCGAAGCTGGATCTAGCCATACTGCCTTTCGCAATAGGTCCCTCCTCCGATTCCCACGACGAAGAGCACAATGCACGATGTGTATCGAACACCCGCACCGAGCTGCTAGACGAGACAACAACATGGACGAACAGCAAGGACGGCAAGTCTATATCTTGGCTGAGCGGCATGGTCGGCACGGGAAAGTCTATGACAGCGCGGACCGTCGCTCAGTCGAGGGCAGCTCGGGGCAAGCTTCTTTCTTCAAGAAAGGCGATGGCAAGCGCGGCAACGCCTCACGGCGTTTCGAAACTATTTCCCTGTGCCGCTGCGGAGTACATCATTCGACCAAAACGGCAGCCGTTGCGGTGGGTGTACACAACATGTGGTATGGAGAGGTAAGGAGCAGCGCGTGGCGATTGTGGAGTCGCATTGCTACATCATCAGACCAAAGGGATATCTCAAACCTCCCTTTTCCGTGCCTCAGTCTTGGGTCACCCTTGCGCCCACAATTACCCACCCATGCGAACCGTCACGTATCGGGTACTGGCATGTTGTATCACGGCAGATGCTGCGATGTGAACTGAACGTCGACGATAGACTCTTTCCTCATTCGTTCCTAGCCTATGGCAACGTACCCTTTACGCCTTTAAATCTTCAACTTGGTCTGATTACTATCGCGCTAGGTCTAGGCCTTCCAGTCCGTCTCGAGGACATGGAGAGACACTATAGTCAACGCCTTGCAGGATTCCACCACGCAGTTGGAGCAACGCCACACAAAACCCTGTCGTGTATCGCTCAACGGTGACCTACCCTTTCAGCCACGCTCTTCGCAAGCTGAGATCGAAGGGCCAAGAGCACAAGGCTGCAAACACAACGGGACGCGTGATCGATGTGGTTCCGCGACGTCGCTCTACACAGATCGGTACAAGCAATGTGTATCTTATGCAATGTAGCAGCACATCGCTACCGTTGTTGGGCCCCTTACGCTTTTGTGAGAGATTGGCACGCATCCGCGGACCACCCGACAACAAGTCATGTCGATTGTAGACAGTCAGTGTGTATCTCACATTCAGTTCATTGGAGAGAACAAGTATCGGGCCTAAAATCGCTATATGCAGGACGCCCCTATGTTACCTACCAATGGATGTTGCACGGCATGTCCAACATCTCAGTCGAGGCGACCTCACTTCCCGACCCGTCTTCAAGTATAAGGCGCAAACGGACGTGTACCTGACATCACGTACTAACCTCACCCTTCACTTACTCACGTGCGTAATAGTATCAATGGACGACTGTTTAGTACTCTCACCACCCCGATTATACATATCAAGAACCTCATTCCAATCAAAGATAGCACCACACCCTCACAGCCAGCAATGACCTCACAAAAGACCATCGCCCTCATCGGCTCCACCGGCTTCCTAGGCCCCTACATCACCGCCTCTCTCCTCCAAAAACATCCCCACACCACCATCCTCTGCCTAAACCGTAGCAGAGACGCAGAACAACGCACCACTTCGTCTCTCACCCGCATCAGCAACGAAGACCTCACCCGCCTCACCTTCATAACAACTGACATCACCCTCCCGCAACTCGGCCTATCCCCCACCCAATACACACACTTCACAACCAGCGTCTCGAAAATCGTTTTCAATGCGTGGAACGCAAACTGGGCGACGCCTCTTATCGGCTACTTACCCCTCCTCAATGCGGTTCAACATGTTATCACTACATGTATTGCCAATTGCCTAAACCCGCGTATCGTCTTCGTGTCGTCGAATACCTCGATAATGAACCACCCAACCCAGCACCCTTCTACCCCGCTCATCCCTGAAGTCCACGCCTGGGACTTTTCCAGCGCAGCGAACACGGGTTATGGTCAAAGTAAATGTCTTGCGGAGCAACTTCTCGCTCGCGCGGGAAAGGAGCACGGGTTACGCGTGGCTATTGTACGCGCAGGCCAGATTGGTGGTGCATCGTCCGCGATACTCAATGCGCCGCAGTGGCCTATCCAGGGTTGGCTATACGTTATATTCAAGACGGCTCAGAAATTGGGGCATTGGCCTGTGAGGATGAATGCTGTGGATTGGATTCCTGTTGATTCATTGGCAGAGGGTATTGCCAATGTCACCTTATCCCAACAAAGCACATCAGCAGACGATGTTAAAGTGTACAACATGATGCACCCTCGTCCTGCACCTTGGGCGTTGCTGCAGAAGGTGCTGGTAGAGAGATTTGGACTGGAAGTAAGGGAGTGTAGTTTGCCGCAGTGGTTGGGGATGTTGGACCCGCAGAAGTTTAAGATGCATGCGTTTTTGATGGAGGGTAGGGAGGGTAGGGAGAATGAGGCGATGGTTTTTAGAAATGAGAATGCGATGGAGATGTTGCCGGAGGTTGAAGATGTTACGGAGGAGCTCGTGGAGAGGTGGTTGAGGGGATGGGGTTTGAAGCTGGGGGAGGTGAGGGCTAGGCTGTGAGTGGGTGTTAAGGATGTGTACGGATAAAAAACATGAAATTGGCTTCAACATAGAATTCGATTTTGTCAATTCTTAGCGCTACATATCAAACAACTGCGCTATGCGGTCCTGCCGTCAAGTACTCAAAGCGTACCATCTACAAAGTCTGCTTGCCTCTCGTCTCAATAGGCAACACCAACATACTAAAGAACGCCGCAATGAACAATCCACCACTGGCGTAAATCGGCGCCTTGGGGTTACTTCCACCCGCCTGAATAGCAACAATGGGCGCGCAAAGACCAGCAACGCGGTTCAAGAAACTGCTCATTCCAGTACCCGTGCCACGGATTGGGGCAGGGAAGACTTCAGGTGTGTAGGCGTACAAGACACCGTACATGATGTTCTGGAAGAAAGCCTCGAGACAAGTGAAAGCGAGCTGGAAGTCGGAGTCGGAAGAGATGGTGAAGAGGAAGACGAAGACACCGGTGATGACGGTGGCGATGGCCATTGTGCCCTTGCGGCCAACGTATTTGAGGTCGACGGTGTAGCAGGCGAGGATGGATCCGGGGACTCCGACGATGGCGGTGATGGCGTAGTTGCGGTAGACGATGCTGATGTCGTTCTCAACTCCGCCGCCCGAGTTCTTGAGGTACTGCGGGAGGAAAGCGTTGAACAGCGGGTAGGCCATACCGATAGTCGACCATTGGAACCAGAGTAGAGCAGTGGTAAGACCAATCTTCTTGTCCTGGAAGAGAGTCCTGAAGCGCTTCATCGAGAAACGGCTGAGGGAGCGCTTGACGATTTCGAAGACGCTAAGCTTGACATCTTCTCCAGTGACTTCCTGGTCGCCGCCGATTTGGTTGAGAATGTCCTCGGTGAGCCAAGTGTGCGTCTTGTTGTAGTGCGCAATGCCGTAGACGGTGGCGACGGCCTCGGCCTGGCGACCGCGAGACAACAGGAACTTGGGTGACTCGTAAAGATGGAAGAGGAAGAAGCGGCAGATGAACATGAAGAATGTGATCGCGCCGAGAGTCAGAATGAGGTATCGCCAGCCCATGTTGTCTTCCATGCGGCATTGTCCGAGGGGAGTGCCGTCAGCGCATGAGAAGTTGGGAATGAATGCCCATGCCACTGCAGGTCGTTAGTAAATGATGAGTATAGCTAGCGGTATCGACTTACGGAGCGAGGCAATCAGGTTACCGACAGGCCAGAAGATGGAAAGCAGCGTAAGGAGGTTTCCCGATGTTTGAGGCAGGAATTCGAGGAACAAAGCGCCGTCAACTGGGAGGTTACCACCGACACCAAGACCAATGCAAGCGTAGAGTGCGCATGTGCCGATCCAGTTGGGCCCGCCGCCGGATGCAAGACCAAAGACCCCAGCGAGGAAAAGAGTAAAGTTGAAAGCGAGACGGCGACCGATAATGTCAGAGGCGGTACCCCAGAAGGAAGCGCCAATGCAGAGACCAAGGAAGAGCGCTAGTGTGGTGTATCTGACTTCCGTCTCGCTGACACCGAACTCAACGCTGAGTTGTGGTAGTGTAAGAGCAACACCCTGTATTCTGGTAAGTCCTGTTGGTTGATGAGGAATTTGATATGCGCACCTGCAGCCACAAGTTGTCGGCCATCCAACCGCCACCGCAAAGAGCAAAAAGCTGCCATTGGTAGCGGCCCATGCCCATATCCTGCAAGGCTTTGTTGATAACCTTGGACTTGCCTGTGGAATATCAGTACTGTTTCCTTGCGCAACTAACCGAAGTGATAGGAAAAGCCACACGACGTACGGTCATATGGCGTGTCGTTGTCCGAAGCAGCGACCTCTGCTTCAATCTCTGCCTTCAATGCTGCGACTGTCAAGCCATGGTTAACCACACCACTAGATGCATTACTATCAGGGCGCGTGAGGCCATCTTCTGGTTTGTCGTCTTTGGTCGTTTTCTCTGTGGCAGCGAGGGAGGCGCGTGGGTGGGTGGAAGCTACAGAAGCGCGATGGGTCGAGTCATCAAGAGGCACATGGACGCCGGGGAATTCGTCGACATGATGAGCCTTAAAGGGATTCACAAACATAGTTCGGACCATCTTGGCGTAGTGATGGTGGTGGTGCCGCGATGGAGGATGGGCGTGGAGTTGTTGCTTGGGGTTGGCGCAATGGTAAAGAGGGGTGCGATAATGGGGCAGTCGCAATTGGGATGGTGCTGTCCAGGGTCGTCGAATCGTCGGTGTCGCTGTAATCTGGTGGCGTTGTCGTTTATGTGTCGAACCGTCACGGCGTCTTCACCCAAGCAGGATGCTAAAGGCTTGTGAGGCTTGGAAAAGCTTGTATATTGGATATGGCAAGCTTCCGCGACAACAGGGTCGCAGGAAATTGATGACAAGAGTTACACGAGCTCGGTCCTGGAGGAGGGTCATGGCCCCTCATATACTCCAGCTCTCCCCGGCGCCGCCCCTGTCAAAAAATCTTTTGGAACGGACAGATGGTGTGGAGTCGTTGGTACGGTGCGCCAAGGTAGCGGCATTAAGGCGCGCGGTGACGTAGTGCTTGGTGGACCAAGCATCAGACCCCATCACGTTCCTCTGCCGTTCACTGCAAAGATCGTCCCACCTCGCCTCTGTGGTTCGCTCGATCCTATTTGGCTTGGCCTTAGCTAATACCATCGGTCTGGTAAGCTTTGCACTCTCTCTTCTTGTGCGTGGGTGCGCCTGCAGCAGCGCGCCTGATGGGCGCAATGACAGAACCTTACACGCTGAGCCCTCGATGAACACAACAGCTCACAGACCAGGTGCATCGGTCGACATTGATGGCTACCAGCACAGATCGTCGTTGCTACTACGACGTTGACCTCGCGTCGCGAGGCTGTTCGCTTGTGGCGGACCCGACGAATTTTGCCGCGTGCCGAAACGCGACTAGACTAAAGACGTGCCGATTACGTTTACTTTCGCAGGCTTCGCACACGCGAAATGGCTAAGAAGACCGGCCTCAAATTATCGCCAGTCGTTAATCACACCGACAGTAAGCGGGGTGGCTCGAGTGTTCTCGTTGAATGCCCAGATCAGGCATGACGTCCCAGAGATATCAATCTCAGAACGCGCGGGATGCTTGCGACCCCAACATTGATGGGAGATCGACATTCCCTGAATGCGCGGCCTGCCACTGCTAATCTACTGGAAAGACCGAGACCGAAACGCTCGAATTGCAACGAGAAATCTGCCGTTCACTGTGGCAGGTTGTTGGACCCTTGCCCGGCTCCACACCTGCCAACCACTGCAGTAAGTTCACCGGTCTCCTCCGAATGCAACACTTTCCCTGGCAGCACGTGCCGAGTAGGCGCGAGGGTGGGCCTGCCCTAAAGCAAGTCGCATCGACAACGGGCAATGTCACGCGACATGCTCGATACAAGGACCCAGGGCCTTTCTGTTGACCTCGTATCGCCTCGGTACTGTAGTGTTACCCGAATGTAACCTACGTACCACACTACTTGGCGACAGCAAGATCAAGAATCTTTCGGTTCTTCCCAACATGTATCGCCTGAGTCTGACACCGACTGCATCTCTCGAGCGACACCATAGGCAAAGCTGCAGGACGGCATGCATGTCACTGAGGAATGTTTGCGCACTCTGCGCCCGGTGTCGGCATCTTCCCAGTATCAGCCTTACAAAGATACATAAGGTTTGATTCGATCTTTCCATCTCTCTCACCCCAACTGCTCCAGCCTTGCGTCGAGGCTGCCTTGAGGTGAGATGCGTGTTCCTCCCAAATGGCAACGGCGAACGTCGTCTGAAATTGGACGAGGTAGTAGCCCTCCTCATTGATCCGCTCTATCGTGGGTCAGCCTTCCTTCGAGCGACATGCACCAGCATCTTCTATCAACAGTGCCATAAACACCACTCAGCAATAGCACGACCATCATTTCTATCAACTGTTACTATCAGCTACCGACATGTGCGACGCCGAACCCCTCGTCAGCAAGAACAGCGCTGAATGCGTGGTTGCCTTCTACAAGCTACTTGATGAACGGAAACGTTTTGCAGCGTCCCGATCGGTCGCAATTACACCCAAATGGCCAGCAGCCCGCAATGATCACTACTGTGACCAAGAGGTGTGTCGACACGAGGTCATTGACTTGTCCTCCATGTGTGAGCCGTCCGATAGCGATAGCGACTGGCAGTCATATATCACGGGTGACAAGGAATTCCCTATCATCGGACACGAAACTGCATCAGAGGGTGAATATTCCCCGAATGAGAGCTGCTGTCAATGTTCCTCTGATGATGCGGATGAGTACGTTGTTGAGGCCGTCCAGATCAGGTAGGTGACCTGCTGACATCATATAGCATCGTCCGTCTCCGTTACAACACACCACCCACAGTCTATGATGACCAAAACCACGGAAGCCGTCGGATGTCTGCGATAGATCCCAAATCAAGCATTCGCGCCCTCCGACAGGAACTTGATAACCTACGGATCAGCAGCGCACAGTCTTTTCTTGACCTGGAAGAGCAGATCGACATGCTCTCATCATCATACGGTATCCTGCGGGGGGACTACCAAGCTCTCTCCGACAAACACAACGAACTCCTGGGGCTTTCACTGAAGCAGTGTAAAGAGCTAGGCAATCACGCCAAGGTTTTGATGGAAATGAGCGAGTGGAAAACGCGCACGGAGAACAGCTTTGCTGCGGTACGCGTCCAAGGGCAAGAACCGGAGGTTTTGTATCTCGACACACCGCGTTCAACATCCACGGCGGATATTAGACTGGAGGATCTGAGAGATACTCCTCTTGCGACGGACAGTCAGGATGTTACATCGACTTCGGATGGACGAGACCATGGTGTCGGAGGAATACCACCATCTCCGATCATGCCTCCCACGACGCCTGAACGACGTGCCAAACATCCGCGCTTGGTCCTGAGATTATCGGCCAAGCCAGTCACGAAGGAGGAAGTCCTGGAATCCCCTGGTGCTTTGGCAACAGAGCCGCGACGCCCGAAGCGCGTCAGGAAGCCCACCGAGAAGCGCAAGGCCGCTGAGCTGGAGGCAGCGTCGGCAAGGAAAGCAAGGAAGCTGAGTTGCAAATCAGCCCCGTTCTGATCGCGTGAGTATCATGTCTGGTCCATGGTTCGCGTGGTGTTAGGGGACAGGCGAGGTTATCGACTATGGATAAATGGTGGCCTGCAGTGAGTATACCAACAATAACACTATTGCTTTCCCTCACCACGTGCAAAGAAAAACGAAATCACTAAACAAAAGCTTGTCTCCTTGCACCGCCACACATGACGATGTTCGCGGCGCCGCGACTTAGGGCCTCCGAAGGTTTTCGGGTTTGAGCCACCCTGCGACACTTAACTTCAGCCCTGCCCGCCCTTTTCTGAACACTGAAACCTAAGGTAGTTTGCGTCAGTATCTCGAATATGCAATCTTCGCGGAATTTGCAATCATAAGTGCGTGGTTTGACTTCGCATCGGGTGTGAGGGGGCTCCGATTGCTACTGTGTGTACTAGGGTAACGTATGGTATTACTATGTGTTCGGCAAAGAAACTGGTATGTATGAAGGTAGAAAAATGACCGAAGACACCAGGCATGTGGTGTATGAGATGCTGCATGAGAGCGCACGATCGCGCACTATGGATGCCCAAGAGCCGATGTTGCCAGGCTCCTCGTTGTCGTCTCATAACGAGCTGAACCCAGCCCGCCCCCTACGGCAAAAGCATGCATGACCCCGATTCGTTGGCCATACGTTCCAGATCTGACAATCTGCTCTTCTAATCATCTTCCAGAACGACCCGCGGCTGCACGGTCACGATTCCATCGGAAGCGTTAACACCGTTGGCAAGACGTTGAAGGCAGCATCATCACGATCCATCACCAGTAGCATTCCATGCATCTGGCTCTCCCTGCGCGTAAACATCTATATGCAAATCCTGCCAATCCCAAATCTGCTCCATGCCACCCATATCGACGGCAGCCGGATCGCCGACCGTGCCAAAGGGGTTCTGAGCAAGGAACTGGTCGATATCGAAGGACAGCTCATCCGAGATGGTCATTGACGGAAGATCAGCAGCAGTGGAAACCATCGGCGCAGCAGTCGGCTCCGGCGGGGCTGTGTTCTTCACCGGTGGCATCACCACTGCAGGCGCAGGCTCATGCGCCGGTACCGGGGGTGTTGTCGTAGGGACCGAGGAAGAAGTCTGTCGTTGTCGCTTGCTAGCTGACGAGTATCGCGAAAGCTCTGGTGTGGCCTGCACGAGCTTGAAGAGGAAGTTGTACGATGTAGCGCCTAGTTTCGTTGTCCCGCTGAGTTGATGCAGCATATCCAGCGAGCTTTCGATTGCATCAACAATTTCCTCGCGATGAGGTAGGAGGTGTTCGCGGTCGTGAATAATAGCCGAGCAGAGCAACGTCGCCGTGTCGAAGATCGCAAAGACAACCATGTGGAACTTCGCGTTGATGGGAAACTCGTGGTCGAAAAGCTGTCGCGCTACTTTCAGAAGACGCAACGCGATATCTACGCCTTTCTTCCGGAACTCGTCGTCCTGGTCGGCTATCGCGTCTCGCCGTTCTCGGGTCAGGTAGGGCTTGAAGAAGTTCAGCATCGTCACGAATATGACGCAATGGAGCTGACAACGCTGGAACACGAAGAAAGGATGGGACTCATCGAACGACGTGTCGGGGTCTGTGAAGCGGAAAATGGGGGGTAGCTCCTCAATGAACTTTTCGCATTCGGCTTCTATCGCCAAGACCTGCTTGTCCGAGAGGGCGTGTTCAGATTGGGCATTCCCCATGGTAGCGGCGATCCTACGACCGAGGGTTGCTTGGAGGGCGATGTGTGCAAAGGGTGAGAGTAGGTTTGGCTCCGTGGTCGACTTGTCGAGCCGTAGGTTGGGGAACTTGAAGTCGAGATTCTTTTGGTCGATGAGGTTTGGACGGCCGAGCCATGCTGACATTTGCCTGCACGAAAGTCAGATCATGCTTCAAACATACGCGGATTTGTACTTACCAGTCCCAGATATACAGCAACGTCCAGAGACGTCTCCTGATCTCGATATCAAACTCGCACAGGCCTTCGATACCTCCATCCTTGTCGATACCCAGCTCTTGTGCTTCCCGGATCGTGCGCGAAAGCGCATGCCACGACTCTACGATCTTGGACTCAGCCTTCAACCAAACGCACTTCAGAAACAGCTCTTGCACGCGTTCAACGCTTGTTCTCGCTGCTCCAAAACTCCGGCTCAGCTCTTCCGCTGCGTCGGAGAACCGGTCCGTCAGAGTCTGGCAATTGCAAGCCAACTCAAACTCAATCATTTTGCGGAGTGCGGGTGTGAGATACTGCACTGAGTACGCGCAGATCCTTAGGAGTAGGCAGGTGAATTCTGGAGAAAGTTGCTTGCCGGCACCGCGATCTGCCCACCATTGGACGTACTGTTCGGCTAATGTTGGCCCGTATATGGCTGTGTAGCGGTAGTTTACGACATTGAGGAAGTGGTTAACGAACGCATCTGCTCATGGTTAGAGAATGGATCGCTAAGATCTCGCAATGATTGTGCCTACCCGTTATTGATCTTGGCGGCACGGCTGAAAGGACTTTCTCGAGAACATCCGTAGTGACGGAGCTTTCTGTCGGTGAGTCTTTCCGGGGACCGTTCTTGAACGCGTTAGTCGATATCAATGTTGTGGGGTATCTTCTTACCTCCTCGACTCCGCCGACTTTGTAGTGCACATGACCAGGCATGTACCCCCACGCTTTCAGCCCATCTTCGAGCTCTTCTTGCTCGCCATCCTGCGACAGAAACTGCGGCTCTGCAGAGTCAGGAGCGCTTCGTTTTGTGCCTTTGATGCTGGACGCCGAATTTTCACTGCGCAATCGCTGTTACTACCGCGTTCCGCTAATGGCGGGGTAGGCAGGACGATCTACATACCGAGACGACTCTGGAGAAGGCTCCTGCTGCCCTCTTTTGACAGAGAATTGACAAAGATGGGGTACTTTTCGTGCCTGACAGTGATTGCAGGGCCATTCTCGCGAGCACTAGCCGCGTCATTAGTTCAAGGGGTAGATGCAGGGCCAATGTGGAGTGTCGTCACCTTTTGCTTCCTCCGTTGACACTCAGTACAGGACGTCGTCGCGCGACTGTCTTTCAGCGATTGCATGGTCGCCATTACACTTGATTGAAGACCGATCAAGATTGCGTAGTTCAAGGTTTATGAAAGCATGGCGAACGGACGAATCCAACGCTGTTGAGTTGTGGATCGGACCCTAAGACCGACCCCACCAGATCCACAAGAGCCGCCGCGCCACCTCCACGGGCCGAAGTTTTGGAGCCAGCCAGAGCTGACCCTGATTTCTCAGCACGTCATGTGATGTGTGGCGACGCTTTTCCGTACGAGAAACTGTAATGTCTACGCGAGCGGAAACCTCAATTCTGCAGGATCGACGGAACCTCCGACATTGGCACAGTTTGCCCAGGCGGCAGTTGATTAAATCGCGCGGCTGTGCCACAATCCGGTGGCTTTGCTGACTGAGGACGCAGCGACAATGTTCGTTCCTTTCGACCTCACTCATACGACTAGTAGTGTCGCCTACACACACGTCCCTGGCATTAGTTCTACGGATCTGCGCGCATCGTCTAGACCGCGCGAGGCTCGCTTGCGCATTTCGGGGTACCTTCCAGAGTCCCCCGAGGCCGAGCATCCGTGTATGTCACCTGACGACACGGTCCGTCCACGGGTTGCGCACCGAGGACCCTTAGGAAAGATTGACATACCGATGGCATGGGTATAGGTTCAATCAGTTCATGGCATCGCGTTGGAACAGTCGCGGTCATGTTGGAAGGCCTCGCTGGTATAGCCTTCCAAGGTTGGCTAATTCGGGCATGATGTCATCGCACCTCGGATGCTGCTTGCAGCCTGGCAGCTAATCTCAAAACACCACGATACCGGCACATAGTGACATCTACGGCTAGCAGCTCAAAGGTCTTCAAACATGTAACCAAGGTCTAAAATGCCACTTCATCCTCACCCACAGTAGCACCTGGGACGCCGCTTTCGACATCATGGCACGCGCCCTGCCTCTCATACCCTGGTCCAAGACCTCCATTCTTACTTGTCGCATGCATTTGAACTCGTCGAGGATAGCGCAGCACGCAGCTCTGGACCTGTTCGTTCTTGGATTTCCCCACCAAGCCAACAAACTTCTCGAGTCAATCCATAAGTACGGTCTTGACACAACAACCTGGGACTACTACGGTCACACTACCGAAAAGCAGTTGCAAGGAGCATGGACAACTAGCGACACTTTCCCAACATGGGCTCGCAGAGCAGACGACGCGGATGCGGATAGCATCAGCACCGCGGGTTTGCCGAACGACATCGCAACGAAAGCTGAGGAAGGGACGCTCAGTAAAGAGGATGTGGAAACCGTACGCGAGCGCCTAAACATGAAGCCGGATGCTACCTACAGGCATGCCGGGGAAACCATGACGCTCGGTGCGGTGACACAGGTTGCGTTACTTGCGGACGAACATCGTCTAGCTACCAGTCTGGTCGAAGATAACATGAAAGAACTATATCAGTACTTGCTGGATAATTGGGACAACCCAGATAGAAGCGGTGACGAGACCAGGCACTACATCTTTCGTCGCCAAGGCTTGGAGTATTGCCCAGGCATCTGGCCCGTTCTCGCGTCTGTTAAGCTCGGGGATACATTCGGTGTGCGTGCATGTGACGTGGATGAATATGTCAAAGAAGGTTGCGCCCTCATCGAGAAGCGTTCTACCGAAGGCCCCGCTCGACCGTATCGATCCAAAACGATGGCCGAACTTGTAAAGATGGTTGACAAAAACATCCTCACCGAACGCGAAGATAGCGGTGAAGATACAATACCCACTGTTCTCAAGGACGGCGCAACGGAAGCTCAGATTGCCGCCCTCGAAAAACGCCTCTCCTCACCCGACGAGCATTCGTTCGTCGCGCTCCCCAGTGGAAAGCTTCCTGATGACTACAAAGACTTCCTACGTGCGAGCAACGGCATCGATGAGGATATCTTCTACAGCACGAACGAAGTCAATACATCAGGAAGCTGGATGCATGACATGGAC